ACTGACTGGCCTGGAGTTCCCCGGGTCTTCCTTTTTTCCCTTTTTAAAAATGGGGGTTATGTTTCCCCTTTTCCAGTCAGTGGGAACTTCACCGGACTGACACGACTTCTCAAATATAGAATCATAGAATCATAGAATCATTAAAGGTTGGAAGAGACCTCCAAGATCAACGAGTCCAACCATCAACCCAACAACACCATGCCCACTAAACCATGTCCCTAAGCGCCTCATCTACCCGTCTTTTAAATACTTGAAACAGGGAAAATACAACCACTTCCAATTTTGCTGTTCAGCAAATGCATCAAAAAGATGGGAAAAAATGGTTTCCCTTCATTTTTGTCACTCCTAGAATGTTCAATTTCTGAACTAGGTTTTTGGAGGAATTAAGAGAATTACCAAAAGCAGAGCTTAATCAAGAAATAATTCTCTGTTAAACTGTTCAATGACATCAAAACAAAACGTTTGCTACAAAAGGCTCCACCAGCTCTAATCAGACGAAATTGAATGTGCTTCATAGAATCTGTGAATCTGATCCTGATTTTCTTTGCAATACATTAAGGCTCAGCTTACAGAGAGCACGGAGCATAAGCTTACCTTCCTATTTTAACAGTTAAACCTCACTGACTTCAACACAGACATTGAAATGTGTCAAAAAGAACAAGGACACCATCCTGAACTGCAACCTAACTCAAAATTGGCCCCATTGTTTTCAATCGCGTTACATGACAGTAACACTGATGTAAACAACATCAAAACCAGGACCACTTTTCTACACCCTATTTTCACAGTTACACAGTATGAGCAACTGAAATGGCACAATAAAGGACAACTTTTTACCTTCTATCTGACTTTCAATTGCAAAGCGGAAGTTTCCCAAAAGTCTTGTGGAGAGATCTTGAAGGTCATCAAAACTACCAGTGCTATACCGATATTTACCAAAAGGTTTGCTGGCCATTTGCTGAAGCTCAGCTGTATTCTGGATGAAAATTCCAACAACATAGAGAGATGCCCCTGTTCCTCAGTTTTCTGGCAGGCAATTCAACTTCATCACTGGATTCTCCACCAGTGATTAGAATGGCTACCTGCGGGACATAGCCCTTAGCTCTGCCACCAGCAGGTTCAGTGAAATACGCTCTGCTAACAAAATCCAGAGCTCTCCCTGTGTAAGTTTCTCCACTCCTATACAGCAAATTCTCAATCTGCTCCAAAACATCACTTTTCAATAAATACTGATTCAGCAAGAATCCTTGGTAAGTCTCATCACTGTATTGTGCCAGCCCAACTCGAATCACATCAAGGCCAACATCAAGACTTGAAACCAAGGTGGAGAGGAAGTTCTTCACCTTCTGGAAGTTTTCCTGGCCAATACTTGTTGAAGTATTCACTAAAAAGACAATATCTGCCAATGTGGCTTTTCTGCAAGCTGCCCAAGGAAGATCACACAGAAGAATGAATTACTATAGCTTCTTCTCCAGCTTTGTTCATGAGCAAGGAAGAACTGACTGTACATTTTATCATTCATGAAATAAATTGCAACTGTGTCGCATGTTTCTGCCTTCTCCTTCCTCCCTTCACCTTCCCCCCTCTCACCATTATTTAGAATATTTTAAAGGTAGACAGGTACTCAAAATTTATCACAGTTATGAGTTGATATTATTGAAAGCTAGTTAGCAATATACAGAAGACACAAGAAGTTAAAACCTGTATTTTGGCAACACAGTGCAATTCCATGTACTTCATCTATGGATAGAAAAAAAAATAAAGCTGGGAAGAAAACATCTTTTTCAGGACATACCATGGGCAACCTGGGTGGCTGGTCCAGTTATCTCCTCTAGCATAGTACAAAACATCTGTAGAATACTGTAAGAGAGACCCTGCAGAGAAGCAAAATCTTCCACTTCACAAACATGCTTATCAGCTGGCTCACTATTTCTTGAAGCTCAGACAAAGCAGAACCTTTAACACCTATGGCATACAACATGATGCCAGCATCCTTGATTGCTGTGGCTGGGTTTTGAACATTAACTTCAGCCTGTCCATTTGTCATCACCACAGCGATGTGAGGAACGCCTTCTTCCTTTTGGCTACCAGCACTTGCTACGAAGTGATTCTCTAGCATAAACTGGAGGCTCTGCCCAGTTTTGGTGCCTCCTTCTTTGTAACGTAATTTCTGTATCTTCTGTAAGATACCGTTTTTGTTATAGTAAGTGTTCAACAAGAATTCAGTGTATGGCGCATCACTGTACTGAATCATACCAACACAGATTTTGTCTAGCCCAATATCAAAGGCATTGACCATTGTGTACAACAAGTCTTGCATGATCTTGAAGTTCTTTGTCCCTGTACTCCAGGATCCATCTACCAGGAAGATGATGTCTGCCATAAAAGCTTTCCTGCAGACTGAAGAAATATTTTGTAACTTTCCTGGATGTGTAATCTAGAGGATGTGTAATCTAATAAAAGAGTAATTTTGCCTCCTGATTGTTTTTCAGAATCCAAGACCTATTGGCCTTTTGCAGAAAAATCCTTCCATCTATCCTGGTAAATTCCCAGCACCCATGAGTTCCTTCTTTTCCCTGTTCATCATACAGAGGGTCAGAGGCTACATCCTTCTGTAACACCATTCTTAGGCAAAGGAGAGGTGCTGAAATTCACACTGACACAATTTCCATACACAGCCTGCCCAGAACTCGTATGTAGTAAATGCATATGGTAATTGCTGTACACACACCTGTATGTGAACCACAATCATAAGAATGCGTTGACCTGCTGTCAAGTGAGCCCAAAGGAAAAGTTACTTATGCACTTTGAGCTCCATTCTGCAAGCATACATTACTAAATATTTATTATCTGAGGAAAAAAAAAAATTTCACACCAACTTCAACAGGACTAACCACATTTACTTGTAGTAAATACTAAACTCGTGTTTCCACACCTTTCAGAAGTGTATGACACTAGTAGGGCATGGATGAAACAGTTATTATTTCCCAAAACCAGCAGTCATGCAGAGAATGTTCTGCAACTGGACAGAACACTTTCTCCAGCAGATCTTCCAGAAGACCTGACTACAAAAATAAAAATGCTAAATCCTGTGACTTATCTTGCTCTTGGTGGTCTTACAATCCTAAGAGTTTTTCATTGCTTTTGAAAATACAGAACCTCAGCACACATGAACAAAAACAAATTTTAATGAACTGTTGCATTTAATTTTGCATATTTTAGGACAACTCTCCTACCTTAGTTTAAATATATGTTTCATAAAAACATACCACGTTATCCCTAGTTATACAAAGAATAAATTGTCACTAATTCTTATTCTCTCTCTGGCATTGGGTATAAATTGAAAAAATTAATTTTGCTATCAACTTGAAGGAGAGTAATTTCTTTAGTGTATTACCAGTCTGTTGTGCATCTATAGAGCAGAAGGTGGAAACAAAGAGAAGAACAAGAAGTGGTTTCCAGTCATCCATTTTGAAAACCTCCCTAGAAAAAACAAACAAAGACAGTAAGAAATACAGAGCACAATTTCCTCAGAAAGAGATTTTTAATTGTGGGGGAAATTTTATTAACAACATGGAGGCTTTCTAGCTGCATGCAATTTAAAGCAGCACTTTAAAATCATATTTTCTTCCCTCAGCTTTTAACATACAGGCCTTGAACACAGAGCTGTTAGAGTTTGACACTGATTTACAGCATATAACCGAAATGAACTGTTCACTACCCTGCTCTCACACAATCATGCTTTGTTCTGATTCATACAGATATATTTACCATGATCCAAAATTCAACTAAAAGCAAGCTATTCACAGTGTCAGATTAATGGGAGTTATGCTTCTAAGATTCCCCTCTAGCTTTGAAATTCCCCACCCACGCATCTATTTAAAAGAAAAATTTCGTGGTAGTATCTATATACAATAGACATAGATAAGAACAAACATTCATTTACAAATGAAATATGCCAGTTGGCCAGTAATGAAGACACTTGCCATATAAAAGTACCACAACTCAATGCTATGGGAAACAGGAATGAAAATCTCTCAGCAAGAAAGTACAAAATTAAGCCACATTGAGCTTAAGCACACGAAACAAGTGAAAACAAGAGTTTTGAAAAACTTTCAATTCTAGAACACATGTACACTAAATAGCTTAAAGAATAAAAAGAAGTAATTGTGGGGGAAATTGTGGAGGCCAAGCATGCAAAAAAGGATGAATATGAAAACATTTCATATGTTGTTCTTCTTTGGAGCTGCTGAAGTTCTCTTTCTTTTCTGACTAGTTCCAGCTGCTCTCCTCCTAGTTCCACCCTCACATTCTGTCCCAGATCAAAACTGAGAAAAGATTTTTGGTAAAATTTATCAATATAAAGGCCAAACGCTTCTGCATGGTGACATGAGTAGCAGAGAACCAGGTTGGCTAGGTAAGCCCAGCAGGGAGGATGAGAAAATCAGGTACAGTGCGCATTTATTCTGCGACCTTTGGTTATTCAAGTATTTAAAACAGATGAGTAAAAGATGCCACCACTGCATTTCAGCCAGCCAAAGTCACTCCTCTCACCAGCCCTTTGTTGCTGGTCCTCTGTCAGCTGAGAGCACATCTCTTCCCATTCTAGGGGAAAGAACGGCTTGACAGAGATGCTGTCCACGTGGTACTTCTTTCCCACGGATGTGCATGTCAGAGGTAATGCTGTTCAACACTGTATGTAGTCTCTTCCTCAGGTCTCCAAAACACAACTTGCCAGCAAGGATTCTGTGGAAATTAGCTGAGGAGAAGGACTGAGGAATGAGTCACTGAGGAGGGTGAGGTAAAATTCAGCAGCCTGACATAAATCAGATATTACGCTCAAACGCTCAGTGACTAAAAAAGACATCCCACTGGGGCTACCCTAAGAATCTCATGCTTAAGATACAGCCTATGTTAGAGGTATATTGCTCTGGAAGATGCACGGCTACTGACTTATGTGCTACCACCTGTTTATTACCAAAATTTTATACAAAGCACTGTTGAGCTATCAGTAATATAAAATAAGCCAAACACTGTTCTGTCTCAGGCTATCTTCTGAACCTGTTAGTTAATCCTGGCAGATGCTCAGATCAGAAGAAAGAGATAGCTTGAGCCACTTATATTCCAGGCTTGGGTTTGACACAGAGTGCAATCTCAGCAAACTCAGGATACTGGCTTGGGTGGTTTTTTTTGTCTGTTTGTTTGTTTGTTTTTTAAAGGGCTTCTGGAATTCTGATGAGAACAATGAATCTAGAATTTCATTTTGGAGCTGATTTACACACAAATTTCGCCAGCATCTGTGTCTCTGCCATTGCTTAACATCTAATAATTACATTGGCATTAATACTGCCTAAACTTAGAAGTAACAGAGAGGGAAATGTCTGTGAAGACACACACAAGCAATCAGACAGCAGGCAAAAAACAAGCTAGTTTATCCTCCCAGAAACTGGAGAGCTTCCTAGGCATGCTTCTTGGAACCCAGGAGCATCCTTCTCAGAATCAACCAGTCTCAGACACAGGTCAATTCCTCCTGTGGAAGGATGTGGAACTGAATCTGTACAGAGGGAGAGGATATCCAAGCAATGGCTACAGCATAACAGGTTAATCCACACATTAGTCTTTTCAGTATCTTCAAGGTATGTGCTGGGGGCAGGGTATATCTACCTATACATGCAGATTGCTCCTCTTTATTTCCATCATTTTTGTTTGATAAACTTCCCTTTGCCACTAGTCACCAAAAAAGTTCTTGTGATCAGAACAAAGGTCCATCTTGCCCAATCCTTTATCTTTGACAATGGCCATTAGCTTAAGGAAAGAGCATAAAAGGAAAATTAAGGAATGTAGGTATCTTCTCCCTTCCACACAGACTGGTTTAAAGGTTTCCAGGCTGCATTTGGGTGAAGACCATACTTCCATAAATTCTTCTAATCTTTTTTGAAACCAGCTATACTTTTATATTAAAATCACAAACCAATTAGATTGTTTATCATATTGTAAACATCATTTATATTCTATTGCAAAAGCAAGCCAAGTACCTGTGAAAATACAAGTTGATGATCAAATGCTGCTGTTAACAATACATTACACTGGTTTTTAAACTATATCTTGGATCTGTAATGACAATTTAATGGAAACACTACAGCTGGTCTAACATCATGGCACAGGGCTCAGTTCCAAGTTCTTAGGGTAACAGTATGTAATATTACCCTAGGTCTTGTAAATAACAAAAAGCAATGAATAGAAATCATCTGCTTGACTCTATATTCTACCCTTAGGCAATAGCAAAACTTCATTTCCAAGTATCACCACACCAAGCTCCATTGTAGCTCTTGAAGGGTGCTTTGGAACCTTCTCTTGTGGGGAGAAAAAAAGCCACATTTCCTATATTTCAAGACATTTATCACATATGGGCACTCTCTACTATTATTAGTACTGCAGTAACACAGAGATTCCAGATGTAACCAAGGTCCCTGTGCAACAAAAGGGGTTCCAGGTACCAAGTGGTCCTTAAAAAGAACAGAAGGCAATGCTGGGGTTTGTGCATTGTGGAAACCTTCTTCATGCCTCTGCACATCGCAGTTTTCTTTAATAAGCACTTCTAACATAAGGGAAACTGTGGTGTGTCATATGTGAAACCACAGCAAATAAAAATGTTTTGCAATCACCTTATATACCATCTTCAAAATTAAATTTTGTCTTGGATTTAATTAATTTTTCTGTATGTATTCCTGATAGTTACTGAACCTCTTAAGACTTCTCCTTGATCACTTTGACAGACATTTGATTCCCAGTTATTTTTCACTACTATGCCTCATGACACCTGCCTCTTTTTTAGACGTTAATAAGCAAAAAGTTTAAACTGAGACACAATTAAATATTTTAATGGTATCCAAAATAAAAATAATCATGATTACTAACTTTCATTACCTTATTATGCAGTGCCTACTTTGCTAGCACAGTTATTGTGCCAGAGGAGCAGTAAGCATCTTGAACTATCTGGTTTTAATAAATTGCACATAGATCTATAGACACAGCTAGAAATGTACATATTCAAGGGCAGGTACGTAAATGCTGCCAGTATTTCCAAAGCCTCTAGTTATAGTGGTGGAGATTTTTAGAGCAAAACACCGAGTTTGTGAAAAACCCCAAGGGCACCCATATCACCGTGCTTCGAAGGTATATGTGGTTGCCCACAGACAGGTGAGCAAAATACAGGTGCTGTTTTAGCAAGGGGCTAGAGTTTCCTCAGTAATGTAAACATTCGAATCTTGTACCAAAGTCTAGCTCTTACTGTTATACCATACACAATAATCAGTGACTGTTGAGCTGTGCAACTATTTCCATACCTCCTAACAGCTGTAGTCTCTCTTTGCCTCCTTCAGCTTCCTCCAACCTCATGACTCAAGAATGTTCGCTGCTCATAGGGTCAGATACCCCACACCTGCAAAATCTCTCCCAGTCTTCCTAAATAGCGAGTGCAGATGGGAACCTATTTCCCGCTTGCTGTTTATTTTTCCCTTCAGTAGCCTCTATTGACATCAGGCAGCTTCTTTAAATACACAGGGACACTGCAATTTTAAAACATGTGCAGACTAGTTTCCCTACTTGTACCATTTATTGTACCTTATCTTCACATAGGAAATTCCAATCATGCACTACAAACTGCATAAATAGAGGTACTTTATGCCTACTACGTGTATTCTTCATTATTTGCTAAAGTAAAATGCAAGAAGTAATTTAATGGAAAACTCATGTCATACAGCTCATAGATACTATGGATCAAAGCCTAAATAACACACTAGAAACATGCAGTGTCACAAAGAATTACCAATTCTGCATATTAAGCTAGTAATATGTTAATTCCAAAATGTATTTGAACATAAAACAGTATATACGAGGTCCTACTATAAGCTACTTAAATATTCATATCTGTAGTTGTTTATATAAATATATAGGCATCATCTAAGATGCTAAGACAGCAATTCTCAAAAATCTAAGACTTCTTTCCATTTTAATGCTATTTTAGGAGACAACAGTATGAAAATTATTAAAAGCTCTTAGAAAACAGTATAAAAGAATACATATTTTAAAGCTTATTTTACTGCCATCATTTTTCCTTACTTGTTCCCAGAGACCCACCAATACGTATGCAATAAATCTCAAAGGAAGAAAAAGATCAACAGTACTCCTGAATTCTTTAAATGCTTCACAAAGATTGCTTGCAACTATATTTTGTTTTTTCTTTTTTAATCAACTAATGTCCCAATTTTATCTTCATTTGCTTCAATGTTTTACTCAGGTAAAATAAAGTCATTCTGTAGATGTTTGCTGCCAGAGCAAAATGCACAGTCAAATGTTAATACACTTCTTAAGCACACCATCAAAAGCATGGAGATTTTGAAGCAACATCTGTTTTTCACCTATAATTTATAACCATGTCACATGCAGGATCTCCCTACACACCCTGGTT